TTCTCTTTTGTTCTTACAATGCATCACTATTACTGATCACCAACGTCTGCTTTGAGTCGCCCACCCAGCCACCAGCTTCTTGTCCTTCACCCCTTCTGGCGTCTCATATCCCACCTGGATCCCTTCCTTCCGCATGAAGGACACCGTCCAAAATTTCCTTTAACAAAGTTCTCTTTGGGTTCTCAGCTTCACTTAGTTCTTGGTCTCTGAGTATTCTTTAATTTCCTGCTGGCTCATTGATATATTTTAGAAGGTTTCAAATACTTTATCTTGTATTTTCAGCTACTACCAGCAGGAGGACAGACTGGTTATTCATCTGCTGTGTTGCTGGAAATGGAAGAGACTATACGGGTGACAGCACGCCTTCCCCACTAGACTCTAAATTCCAGCAGGACGGGGACCATGGCGGCTCCTCCGTTTACTTGCATTATAACAGGTTGTTAATGGGGAACTCTTTCAGTTTGAATTTTGACCGAGGCCCAAAGACAACAAGTGCCAACTACACCTGAGTCCCAAAGCGAGATTTCAGGTGACCTAGGCAGGGTTGCAAAGGAGATGTCTGATGAGAGAGCCCAAGATGGGAGGAGGGTTTCCTTGGAGGGGCTGTGCAGTGAGTCCCACGCCCCCACCTGCACTAGGAGAAGGGTGAGGGGCTGTGCAGTGAGTCCCACGCCCCCACCTGCACTAGGAGAGGGCTGAGGGGCTTTCTCTCCTCACCTTGTGCCCAGTGAGAGGGGCTTCACGAGGACCCCTGTGAGGGCATGCCATGTGCCTCCTGGGGCTGGTGGGGGCACTAAAAGCTGACGTCTCTCTACACTTAAGAGATCCAAAGGCTGCACCCAGTAGCTGCCAGTAGGCAGTTGGGCTGCAACTGGGAAGTAGTGCGTGCCAACTTGGTGGGTGGAAGGTACACGTTTCCTGTGGAGCAGGCGAGGCCATGACACCCAGACACCGGCCTGGGATGTCTTGCATCCTCCCAGGAGTGTGCCTGGAGGCCTGAAAGGAGACCTTGGCAAAAGAGGCTAGCGGTACCAGTTGACACCTGGGCTGAGGAAAGATGCACAAGGGACCAGATGGAGAGGATGGATTGCCTGTGTTGGCCAACCGAGGCAGACAGACCCCCAGGTATGTGGTCTCTCAAGAAACCATGAAAACACCCAAGAGTCCCCTGGGATCCCCTGCTGAGCCTGTGTGCCAGCTCACGGCAATGCCGGTAGTGTGGCAGCTCTCCCAACCTCACCTCTTCTTCCCAACGCTGCTCTGACCTGAAAGAGTCGGAAACCATACGTACAGGACCACAGGGAGAAGCAGCCGACTGACCCCCAGCCTTCCGCCTTCTGGAGCCCCAGGTGAGAGGAGAGCTCACACTTGAAAGACTCAGAGTTTTCACTGTCTCACTGGACTGATCATACTAACACCAGGCTCAGCCTGCCCAGGGGCTGGGACTGGACGACCCGGGAAGAATCACCTGGAAGGAACCAGAAAAGTCCTGGGGCTGCCCCGGTTCTTCCGGCAGCAGAGGGGAGCCAGCCCTCAAAGGAGGTTTGCTAGGGCAGCGAGAGAAAGTCAGAGCTGTTTTCTGTTGGCCCTGAGGAGACGTGTCCTGGGCAGATGCACGTACCAGGAGTGAGCGAGTAAACGAAGGAATGAACCAGTAGGTGCCCACTCCTCTTCCTGCTCAGATTTACCTTCTGGGAGTAAGTAAGATGGTAGGAAAAGTGAAACAAGCTCATAAAATAATCAAGAGTGATCTTTCCACAAGATGACTGCGAGGGACCGTCCTGGGGCCCTGGGGTCAGAAGCGGGCAGCTGTCAGAGCAGGGCCATCTGTGTATCCTGAATGCCCTCAAATGATTCAAAACCAGTGTGTCTTTGCTGGAAACGACCCCAGGGGAAGCTGTCCTCCAGAGAGCATCACTGATGGAGGGGAAGGGGGAAGGAGGGTGGCTGCAGCAGCAGACAAAGAGCTGACAGCAAACAACCCACACCCACGTCCCGGGCGGGGATGACTCTACTGAATGCTCCACACAAACAGAAAAGGCAGGTCCCCAACCTCCTGCCACACCAGACGGCTTGTCTCAGTCGCTCAGCTGCTTAAACAACAGAGCTGTTTTCTCACAGTTCTGGTGGCCAGAAGTCCATGATCAGGGAGCCGGCAGACCCAGTTCCTGTGAGGCTCTTCCCCTGGCTTACAGACGCTGCCTTCTATGTCCTCATGGCCCTTCCCTAGCGCACGGGGAGGGGGAGAGAAGGAGAGCACTCTCTGGCATCTCTTCCTATCAGGACACAAAGCCTGAGGGACCAGGGCCCCACCTTATGACCTCATTTAATTACCTCCTTAGAGGCCTCATCGCCAAACACAGACACACTGGCGGTCAGGCCTCCATGTATGCATTTGGGGGACACAAACATTCAGCCCCTAACAGGGCTCTTCAAGAGAAGGAAAACTCTTTAGTGAAAGCTGAAAATTGGTACAATTTAGCTTAATAACTGTGTACACTTCAGTTCTGGGTTTCAAGATCATTAACAGTCTCAAGGAGTACTTCACATGCGACGGGCGAACGAACATGGCGTCCTGCATGGAGGTCCCGGGACCACCCTCGAGATGTGAGGGGTGGACCCGTCCAGCCCAGGCGAGCAAGGCGACCAGGATCAATCTGGGCAGGGCTCCAGGGGGGGCGTGTGTGGAACTGGGCCCCACAGGCTGACTACCGAGAATGCAGAGGGACAGGAGCCCCAGACACAACCCACGGGGTGTGTAAAGAAGGGGGAAGGTGTCGCTGCAACAGGAAAGATCTCCAGGTTTCCATGGAGAGTGAAACTGCTTCTTCACCTTTCCCTTCCCACTTAGTTTTGCTGGTTGAGACTGTTCCTCTCCCTCTGGCACATCTGTCGGCCCAATCGGCACTCCTGTCGGCATGACTCATGGGTGCACACAGTCCACGTGCCAGGCCTGGGTGGACCGCGGGCCCCTCATCATCTGTGTGCGCTGGTTCTCCGCTCCGTGAGCTTGTCCCTCGACCCAGTGAGTCTCCTGGGAGAACTGACGCTGCGGTGCTTCTGCTCGCGGAGGGTGACCCTAACCCTAACCCTAACCCTAACCCACGGCTGGGCCCACGTGAGGGGAAGCTGGGGCTGCTCCGACCCTCATTCCTGGGGTCACACATCCTAGAGGGAGCCCAGCTCTGCTCCGGCCCCACCTCGGGATCCTCTATGCTTCTCCGCTGCCCCTGTCTCCCCTCTTGGAATAGTGAAATTTTCAAGAGCGGAAAATCCCACTCTATCGCGTATAGGCAGAGAATTTATTACTTAGAAGTGCCGGCCCCTGGCTCTACGCACAAACCAAATGAACACAAGAAAATAAACCCATTGCCTTTTAAAAATCCATGAAAGTCAACACTAAAGTAAACACTAAATGCAAATTTTCAGGCCATTATTACCCTTTGAGGTTGAAACTTTCCAGTTCACGTCCTTCCCAAAGGTGACTTTTTATGGACACTTTAATGAAATTAGCTCATCCATTTCTGACTCAGGAAGCACAGATTAAGATCCAATTATTACAGCTTGACTTTTTTCTAACTATGCAGGGGAAATGAACTCAGTAAGGTTTTTAGAATTTCCTCTAAAATGTACAGCTTGAGGGGGATTAGAAACTCCAGAACCCTTGGTAGAAAAGGTGTGGTGGAGAAACCAAGGTTAGTACTTCACCAAATGTGGCAGTCACAACGCTCGCACAACATGGCTGTGAGCTGTGAGACCGACCGACCTGCAGCACAGGCCTCGCTGAGGCGGCCTGCAGAGGCTCAGGCCCTGTGAGCGGCACCCACCCGCCTCAGTGGGAGGGAGTGGGATCAGCTGTAAGGTGGGAGAGTCACTCCACTTCTGGTTGAGAAGAACCAGGCATTCAGCTGGACTCTGGGACGGCCGTCTGAACTCCTGGAAACAGCAGAATCAGAGCCTTTCCCAGACCACCAACCCTGGCCTGGTGGGGCACAGCTGGACCCAGGAAGCGACGGGTCCCCTCCCAGTCTCCCAGCCAGGAGGCTGGGTCTGTGTGCGTCTGTCAGTGGGAGGAGGGTGAACTGACAACCCCACCTGGGCAGCCCCCAGCCTGGCCCCAGCTGTCCAAACAGGTCACTGTGGAAGCCAGGGTGGACTTAGTTCAGTTGCTCCATCTATAAAGGGGTGCTTCACGAAGGCCAGTCTGGGGACCCCGCCAGCACTTTGTCCTGGCGCTCATGTGATGGCACGTGCTGCATTTTGTGTGACTCTCAACTTCCTCATCATATCACAACCCGGAAAAGCACACTTGTCCTGCACAACTTGAGCTCCTGAGCTCAGCCCCGTCCTGCTCCCCCAGAAAGTGGACCTGCCTGGAGCCCTGGGGCTGTGGGGACCCCCAAAGCCCCAAGAGCAAGTGAGGCCAAGCAGACAGCCCCTGCCCCTTCCACCAGAGCTGCTCTGCCTCGTCAGTATCCAGCAAATCCTCCGTCAAGTGATCACCCAGGACAAGAGGTGCAAACTGGTCCATCCCAGCAAAGTGGTGAGACTAGCTGGGCACAGGTGAGACCCAGATGGACACAGGTGAGACCTATGTGGGCACAGGTGAGACCCAGGTGGACACAGGTGAGACCTATGTGGGCACAGGTGAGACCCAGGTGGACACAGGTGGACATGGGTGAGACCCAGCTGGACAGAGGAGGACACAGGTGAGACCCAGCTGGACACAGGAGGACAGAGAGGAGACCCAGCTGACAAACGAGGACACAGGTGAGACCCAGCTGGACACATGAGGACACAGGTGAGACCCAGCTGGACACACGAGGACACAGGTGAGACCCAGCTGGACACACGAGGACACAGGTGAGAACCAGCTGGACACAGGAGGACACAGGGGAGACCCAGCTGGACACAGGAGGACACAGGGGAGACCCAGTTGGACACAGGAGGACACAGAGGAGACCCAGCTGGACACAGGAGGACACAGAGGAGACTCCTACCTTGGAAGAAGCTCTTCACTCTGAGGTAACTAACGCTGAGACGTAAGACCGAAAGCTTGTCCAGCTTGGAGATGATGTCGGGTGGAAATGGCAGCAGGCTGGCTAGGTGGTCCAGCTCGGCGTTGAGGCGGTCCCGGTGCCGCTTGGAAGGGTTCGATTTCTCGGCCCCCACAGCAGGCCTCCTGTGGGGAAACAGCCACAGTCAGAGTTGGGGTCTCCACCAGGGCCAACGGCTCCAAAACAGAGCTGCCACCAGGAAAAAGTGCCAGAAAGGACTAAAGCCCAACCATTCCTGAAGATGTACATACTAAGAAACTGAAACCACGCCTATCACTGGGAGGGAACGCGCCCGAGATCAAGAACAGGTGGTGGTGCAGGCTGTGCAACTCCTGTGTGCTTCTTGACCTCTCTGTGCTAACTCTCCCTGAAGCTGGAGAAGGACACCCGGCCCCGGCCGCATTTGCTCAGCCTCGTTCAGCTTCCTCGGTGTCTAAACACACGACCTTCTGGGACCTGGGCCTCCCAGCCCCCAGTCAAGGTGCACGTGGCCTCTCTGGCCTCGGTTTCTCCTCTACACAGTGGGGCTGAACGGGGCTGAGAGGAGAATCAAGGACTCCTGGGCACCATGGGTGCCATCCCGCCTGCCCCTCCAAGGCCCCGAAGTCACAGGCTGCGCCATCATGCGGGTGGCCAGGGCCCTTGGCTCCTAGATCCCCTTGCCCCACAACAGACCTGCTCTCCCACAAAGGGAGCACGCCCTGCCCAAGGTTCCCTGAGCACCGTCCCTGCACAGGGGAGAGCTGGCCCAGACCCCGCCTGCCTCACAGTGGCCTCCCTCATCTGACGCCCTAGTCCCCAGGATGACAGTCCCTCCATCTGACCCTACTTCCCACCCCACAGGAGCCATTCTCCTCACACGTCCTTCCTAGACGCCATCCACACGAAAGCATCTGGTGGAGTCGCTGGGATGGGAGGGGGACGGGGAAGCACTGAAACGGGACCGCCTGGCTCCCAGGGCCCGCCCTTCCTGGGGTCGCAGTGCCTCTCAGGCTGGAGGGCTCCTGCTGCTTTTCGGGGCTTGGCTCTTTTGTCCAGAAGTTCCTGAGTCTCTACTGTGTGTTCACCTACAAGTGTGTTGAAAGCACGCCCTAAACAACCTGTCCTGTCAGAAACCCCAGAGACAACGCCTCCCTCGTGCCGCCTGAGGGCCTCGGCCACAGAGACACAGGAGAGCCACAGCTCCAATCCCAGAAGTTACTGCTTTTTTCTAATTGAGATATAAGCCGCAGAACATAAAACTAACCGTTTTAAAGTGTACAGTTCAGTGGCATTTAGTGCATCTACAATGTTGTACAACCACCACCTCTATCAAGTTCCAAAACATTTCCGTCACTCCACACAAAAACCCTGTCCCCATTAAAGCTGTTTCTCTCTGTTTTCCTCTCCCCCAGCCCTGGCAACCACAATCTGCTTTCTGTCTCTATGGATTTGCCCATTCTAGACATTTCACATAAATAAAATCATGCAATACAAGACTTTTCATGTCTGGCTTCTTTCGCTTAACATCATGTTTCAAGATTCATCCATGGTGTAGCATTTATCAGAACTTCATTCCTTTTTATGGCTGAATAATGTTCCATTGTATGGATGTACCACATTTTGTTTGTCCATCCACCAGCTGATGGGCATTTCGGTTGTTTCCACTTTATGGGTATTGTGAATAACGCCACAACTAACAATCATGTCCAAGTTTTTGTTTGAACGTATGTTTTCAGTTCTCTTGGGTACATGCCTAGAAATGGAATAGCTAAGTTAATATGCTAATTCTATGTTTAACTTTTTGAGAACTGCTAAACTGTTTTCCCCAGCAGCTGTGCCACTTTACATTCCCACCAGCAATGTAGGAGGGTTCCAATTGCTCCACACCCTTGCCTACACTTGTGATTTTCCCTTTTTTCAATATAACAGCCACTCTCATAGGTGTGAAGCGGTACCTCCTTGTAGCTTGATTTGCATTTCCTTAATGACCAATCATGTTGAGCACCTTTCACATGCTTGTTGACCATCTGTATGTCTTCCTTGGAGAAATGTCTATTCAAGTCCTTTGCCCATTTTTTCATTGGGTTGTTTGTCTTTTTATTGTTGAGTTGTATGAGTTCTTTACATATTCTGGATACTACATCCTTATCAGATATATAATTTGTAAATATTTTCTCCCATTCTGTGGTTATCTTTTCACTTTCTGCTAGTTTTTTTTCCTTAATGAGGCACGTACCCCAATATTACTCACACTGATAGCCTAACTTTAAATAGGCAGGAAGCCTTCGGATAAACTGACTCCAGTTTGGACTTGCATTTGCTGGCCAGAGGAGAGGCCCGAGGCCTCCCCAGAAAACAGGGCCGACCAAGGGCAGGTGTGGGGGTCAGGGAAGGGGAGAGACATCGGGAGACGGGCAGGGTGGCTCAGATCTCATCTGTGTGAAATGGGGGGAGCCGTCTCCCACCTGCCTCCCCACACAGCCTGTGCCTGAGAATGAACTGAGCCGTGAGTGTCCCCAAACCCACCCCCATGGGGCACCTGGGACAGGGACACTCGCCTGCCGAAGAAATGGGTTCAGAAGAGCTCTGCAAACATCGCTCTACTCCTTCAACTTTCGCAGAACACCTGGCTGCCCCTTGATGCAGCTCCACCGCCCCCCTCCCTCCCCACTCCCCAGCTCCACGGGCCACAGCGGGAACCGCCCCCACCAGGCCCAGGTGGGTGAGAGGGGACAGGGTCCAGGGACACATGGTGGGGGCTCTGATTCTCTAGGGCAGAGTCACACCACCAGCACAGGAAAGGGCAGGAGGCGCCACCAGCGGCTCAGGCAGAGGGAGAGTCACAAAGGAAGCCCTGTGCCCCAAAATAGGAAGTACATGGAACAAGTCTAACAAAAAGCATCCCAGACACCTCAGCTGAAACTATAAAATTCTGCTGAGAAAAATTCAAAAAGACCTAAATAAATGGAAAGATATACCATGTTCACAGATTGGAAGACTCAACATTGTTAAAATGGCAATGTTCTCCTAAACTGCCTTATTGATTCAATGCAATCTCAACTAAAATTCTAGCAGGACTTTTTACAGAAACTGACCAGCTGATTCTAAAATGTACATGGAAATGCAAAGGACCAAGAATAGCCAATGAGAGAACAAGGTTGGAGGACTCCTCCTGTGGATTTTCAGCCTTCTCTGAAGCTACAATATTCAAGATGGTTTGGTGAGAGAAAAGAAAGAGCTATAGATCAACAGAACAGAGTAGGGGGTCTAGAAAGAGACCCACATATTTTTGGTCAATCATTTGGCAAAGATACTAAGGCAGTTCAACGGGGAAAGGAAAGTTTTCAATAAATGGTGATGATCAACTGGGTATCCATGAAAACAGGTGAACATCAGCCCTTACCTCACACAATACCCCAAAATTAACTCAAAATGGATCACAGACCTAAATCTAAAATCTACGTAAAAACTCACAAGGAAATACATGAGAAAATCGTTGAGAGCTTGGGGTAGTCCTGGGACTCTGAGAACACACAAAAAATCATAAAAGAAAAAATTGATAAATTGATCTTCATAAAAATTTTTTAAATGTCTTTTGAAAGTCACCATTAAGAAAATGAAAAGGAAAGGGAAGCCATAGATTGGAAAAAAATATTCACAACAAAGGTTTGTATCCAGAACATGTAAAGAAGTTTTGCAATTCAATAATAAGATGAACAACCCAATAAGAAGATAGGCAAATTATTTAAACAGACACTTCAGCAGGGAAGATACATACGGATGACAAATAAGCACATGCAAAGATTCTCAACACCATTAGTCATTAGGGAAATGCAAATTAAAGCCCTGATGAGACACCACAACACACTGGAATGGCTGCAACTAAGAAGTGCTGGGGAGAACGTGGAGGAATCAGAACTCGCAAGCACCACTGCCAGGAATGGAAAATAACAGTTTGGTGGTGTCCTAAAACACTAAACACACACCTTCTACCTGACTCAGCAATTTCACACCTAGGTTCTTACCAAGCGAAACAAAAACATATGTCCACAGATTTGTGCACAAATGTTCACAGCAGTATTATTTGAAATAGCCGCAGACTGGGAACACACCAGCTGTCCATCTGCAGATGAATAAACAGATGTGGTGCATCCATACAGCGGAGCACTACTCAGCAATGAAAAGGAATACACTCCTGATGCACACAAACCGTGCATGAACCTCAAAATCATTACGAAAGTGAAAGAAGCCCAAACATGGTGTACGGTTCCATTTATAGAAAATTCCAGGAAATGCAAACCAGTCCATAGGACAGAGGCACATCAGAGGCTGCCTGGGACGAGGTAAAGGAGAGACAAGGACACTCTGGGCGTGATGAGAGTGAGTGTGACCTTGATTTCAGTGATGGTTTCACAGGTGTTTGCAAATCTCAAAACCAATCAGATGTGCTCTTTAAATATGTGCAGTTCCGTGCACCCAGTTATAACCCAATAAAGAGGAAAAGTGCCAACAGAAGAGGGAAGCCCACGGCCTGCACACCTCGGAGAGCTCCAGACAGGCTGTTGCTCTCAGGACCCCATGGGACCCACGTAACACGGAGGCTGGGAGAGAGTGAGGAAGGGCATTTCAAGGGCTCCAGCCAGCGCCCCACTGCCCCCGTGTCTGCGCTCGGCCCCGAGGGACCTTTCCGGAGCAGGTTCCAGCCCAGGAGCCAGGCACTCATGAGTCCAGATAGATTCTGTCTCCTCCGTTCACCCCACGATCCATGACTTTCGTCACCCACCCCTTCCAGGAGAGAAGATGTGCACGCAGACACCCATCACCCACCACCCACCCTCAGAGGATGGGGCCAGACCACAGCCCTCTGGTGTGGTGAGGAGGCAGGATCACAGCGGGGACGAGGGCACGGAGCGGCCAGTGCAGCCAGAGCCTGCAGGGATGCCAGCTCACACCCAGGAGGGGCTGTGGGCTCAGGTGCCCTGCTCTCAAACCTCAAAGCCAAAGTCACTTGGCCTCCAGTTTCCCTAGAACACGTCCCTAGAGAGGTACTCTGCACACACGCACACACCCTGCAGCTCCCCCTGTGCAGGTGGACACGGCAGCTGTCACGACACACAGACACTGGTGCTCAGACAAGCCAGCACGGCCACGTCCCCACACCGCGCCTCAAAGAGTCTGCACAGAGCCCGCAGAGCAAACATGCTGCGTGTGAGTCCTCGTCTGCAGATGTTCAGTGACTATCCACAGCACCCCAGTCTTTTTGCCCCTCAATTTTCAAGTCTCAAATGCCCAATGCCATTTCAAATCAGCGAGGAAAAACTGATTATTCAATAAAAGTGTGAGGAACAACCAGTAGCCATACGGGAAAAGCAGGAGAGAGATTCAGACCCCACACCTTACACCAGGAAAAGTTCCAAGTGCTCAGAAGTTTTAAATTTTTATATATATATATATATATATATATATATATATATATATATATATATATATATATATATATATATATGACATATATACACACACTAATATACTAATATACATATTTTTAAGGAATCCATAGAAGTTTAGAAGAAATATTGGGAAAATTATTTTATAAACTTGAATCAGGGAAGATCTTTGTAATCGTGATGTAAAATTAATTAGCCACAAATGAAGAGATTAATCAACTCAACTTCATAGCAGGCCCCGTGGCTTAGCGGTTAAGTGCGCTCGCTCCGCTGCTGGCGGCCCGGGTTCGGATCCCGGGCGCGCACCGACGCACCGCTTGTCTGGCCATGCTGAGGCCGCGTCCCACATACAGCAACTAGAAGGATGTGCAGCTGTGACATACAACTGTCCACTGGGGCTTTGGGGGGAAAATAAATAAAATCTTTAAAAAAAAAAATTCAACTTCGTAAAAATTAAATTTTTCAACATGGCCAGAAACACAATAAGTAAAATCAAAACTGAGGAAAAGAGTTGACATGCATTCAAGACACGGTCTCCTCAGCAAACAAGCCCCACAGATCAGGAAGCGCTAAAGCAGGAACAATCCGATAGAAAAATGAGCAAATGTTATCAACACAGACAGTTCACAGAAAAGGAAATATAAGTGCTGCTAAACCTCACTTATGATCAGAGCAAATTAAATTACCGAAGTCTGAAACACACCAAACACACCGCGTGCCCCGGGCCGGGGTCAGAGGTGCCTCGAGCACCGAGGAGGAGCACACCTCCAATGCTGGGCAGCTTAGTGACACCTATCACAGCCACAAACCCCACACCCTCGGGCTGAGCAATTCCACTTCTAGGACAGACGCATGTTGGGGCGGGACTTAACTGACCCCACTCGCAAGCCAATAACCTGCTGCCGTTTCATTGATGCTGCCAGAAGGCATGCGTCTCCTGGGTCAGAGACAAAGGACTTACTCCTCCCAGCTTGGCAGCAGCGTGAGCCTCCACGTGTCTGCGTCACGCACCCACGTCCCCAAGGCCCGTGAGAGTGACACAGGGGTCCAGGCAGGTGCTGCCCGCTCAGCCGTGTGTGCCACAGCCGAGGAGCCCCGAGTTTGGGGAACTCACCACTTTCACAGGAAGCAGTAAACAAGCTGCCCCAAGGGAGACTGCACCCCACCCCTCGTGGGCGCTCACTCCACACACAAGCCTGACAAGCAGCCCGGGTACCAGCGGTCACGGCCTGGCGTTCTTGGTGCCAATGTGAATGAGCCAGGACGTGCGGTGCCCATGGTGGACTGCCTCTCCCAACTACAAGCATGTGTGCAAAACAATGCACAGATTATTCACCACGATGACGCCTGGGAAACAGTCTAATGGGTGCTACCGAGGGCTGGAGATAATGTCTGCACACTGGCCACTAAAAGGTGTACCAAGGGGCTGGAACGGTGGTGTAGCCGTTAAGTTCGTGCGCTCTGCTTCGGCGGTCCGCGGTTTGCAGGTTCGGATCCCGGGCGCGCACCGACGCACCGCTTGTTAAGCCAGAGGAAGATGGGTACGAATGTTAGCCCAGGGCCAGTCTTCCTCACACACACACACAAAAAGGCGCCCAACAGTGTGCCATCGTCAGCTTATACAGGGAGAAGGCGCATGTGCTGCACACCTGTACTTGCTGGTTTGTGCATAAACGACCTCAGGGGGATCCACAGGAAACTGTTAACATCCATGCGAGAGCCTGGCAGGAGGAGCGGGGCTGGGAGGGAGACTTCTCCCTGAGTTCTGAATCAGAGAACATACCACCTCTTCAAAACACCAACCAGTAAACTTATTACTTACAGTAAACACCTCCTCTTCTCAGAGGCTGTCCTTGGAGCCAAACATCACAAAACAGGACAGTTAGTTCCTCTGCCCCGGACCGTCCTCCACAAAGAACACAGGACGCGCACCCGTGTCTCCAGGTGTTGCTGTTCCTTATTCAGTGTGACAATGCGTTCACCAGGACAAGTCTCTGCCCCTTGCACACGCTCAGGATGCAGGCTCCACCCGCCCTGTCCCGGATCCCTGGGCTTCGTCCCAGGTGCACACAGCTCTGTCCTCCAGGCCCCGCCCTTCCCCTGCAGACCACCTGCCCTGTGCTCCCAGCACTGCACCTACAGTGCTCCGGAGGCCACACAACTGACTCAGGGGACAAGTCCACTTTCCAGAGTCCAGCCTTACGAGCCTTGGTGCCTGTCCACGGGGCCGGTGGTGCCCACAGGATCCTGCAGCCACTGGACGCTTGGAGGACAGCCCAGGTCACAGGAACACAGACCTACACAGACACGGCCGCAGGTGTGCACCCACACACACGCACAGCCTCATACACACCATCGCTCACACTCAGAGCTGTCTTACACACAGAGCCATATCACACACATGCAGCTGTGTTATACACACACAGAGCCCCAGCAGATGGTGGACACCCTGCAGCACCCCTGCTCGAGGGGCCAGAGGCAGCCCGTGGGCCTCTGAGGTGTCACCTCTGCTGGCCTCCCAGCAGGGCAGCTCTGAAATCCAGCCCGTTATCCCTCCTGCCACCGCAGACCTCACATTTCGGCAGCCCTGAGCTCCAGTGGGCCAGGCACGGGCAGGCAGAGGGACCGACAGCAGTGGCGTTGTATTTCTGGGGCTGCCGGGGGGCCGGGGCCGTGGGTTCCCCTCCCCACTCTCTAACTAAACCTCTGGGAGGGGAGGATGGGCCCCTGCAGAGCCTCCTTTGTGGTGATGCTCACAAAGGAGCTCCAGGTGTGTCCTCGCTGAAGACGGAGTCTCACTAGGGCAAAGTGGGGATCAGGGGCTCAGGGAAAATCACGGTGATGTCTTAGCCCTCCCTGTCATCACCAGGCCCCAATGTCACCTTCCTACCAAAGTTAGGGCAGCCTGAAGCAGGTTCTGCTGTCCTTCACGACCCACTAGCAAAGGCAGTGGAGCGACGGGGGCACCTGACTGCCCAGCTTCTGGAGCTGTTTCTGCAAGTCCCTCCACCCTCAGGAAGGCCCCACCGAAAGCTCTCCCTCAATCGCCATGGCTTTGTTCCTAAATTCACTTTTTTCAATAAAAATGCAAATCCCTTCCCCCTTCATCAGTAATAATCAGTGAAAACAGAAGACATGACACTTTACTGTTTCTGAATGGGCTTCCTTCTTTTCCTCCCAGCATACATGCACTCCCCCGGCGGAATCATCGTCTCTGGCCCTAGAAAAGAAAGGGGACATCCAGTTGGTCACGTTGAAGAGACCCCAGTGCCCACACGACTCCCCAGAACCACCAAAGGCAGCAGCGTCAGCCGAGGTCCACTGTGCCCTGACGGAGGCGTTGACTGGGGTCCCGCTCCTCCATCTCAAGATGACCTGTGAGCTCGAGGCCCCTCGTGTGAACCCCTCACTCATCTCACTCGGCAGGAAGGTGCTGGAGCACCCACAAGGACGCGCACCCCCAGCCGTGATATCTCTCCTTTGATGGGCAGTGTCACGGTTCCCCAGCCTGGCGTGGGGACCCCTGTCCCCAGCTCCCACAGAGAAACAGCCCTGCGCTCTTGGCCTGGCTCGGAAAGCTCACAGTAGATAAACATCCCAATCCTGTCATCAGAAAAGAGAAGCCACCTACAGGGCGTCTGTAAGCAGGACACACACTGAAGGCACGAGAACAGCCTGCCGCTGCGGCTCGGAGAGGACATGGGGCGGCATGCTCCTCGCTCTGCGCTGTTTGTGGCAGGTCTTCTTCCTCTTCCCATCCCTCCTCTTTATGCGCCTGCACTTCAGGGCCAATGGGCTTCCTCTTTTCTAGGTAAAATCTCTCACTCGACCCCACAATGCTGGGCTTCCATCTTGGCCACTCACTCAGAGCCACTCTGAGCCCAGCTGACCACACCCGCTGGCCTCCACCAGCACTGCTGGACTCTGGCGCCTGCGTCCGAGTGGAGGTCCCCAAGGAGCAGTCCAGTATCTGTGCCCCGAGGCTGATCAGTTTGCCCACTACCTCAGAGAGACATCAGAATCCTGATTCTCCCAGGCAGGGAGGTCGTGAGCCCTCACAAACATCCTGCAGGCCAGTGTGCAGTGACCACTCAATGCCAGGCTCTGGGCCGACAGATGTGGAGAGGAGGTCGGCAGCTCTCACCTGGCCTCACGTGTGCGCAACCTGGAAGAGGCAGTGGATTCAAACACACGTCATGTCCTGCCCTGTGTGGAGAGTGCTGTGAGCCTACCGGAAATGTGCCATGGACCCGCTTCAAACATGAGAAACACACTCTGAATACGAAGACATAACTAGGTGAAGTAAGTGGATGGAAAAGACACACGACGCAAACACTAATCAACAGAAGCCAGAGTAGCTACACAAGTATCAGACAAAATATACTTTGGAAAAAGGCATATTACTAGGGACTAAGAGGGATGTCATATAACGATAAAAGGGCCAGCTTCCCAAGAAGACATAGGAATCCTAAATGTGTATGCACCTAACAACAGAGCTTCAAAATACGTGAAGCAAAAACTAATAAAACTGAAACGATAATTCATCGGAGATTTCAACATTCCCCTCTCAGTAATCAAGAGAACAAGTAAACAGAAAATCAGAAAGGATACAGAATACCCAAACAACAACGGACTTTAACTAACTGAAATTTGTAGAACACTCCCTCCAACCACAGCAGAGCACACATTCTTTGTACATGGAACATTCATCAAGACAGACTATATTCTGGGACTTAAAACAATCCTTAACAAATTTAAAAGAATAGAAATCATACAAAGTATGTTCTCTGACAATAATGGAATTAAAGTAGAAACATATAGGGAAAATTTCCATATATTTGGAAAACAACCCATTTTAAATAATCATGGGTCAAAGAGAAAGTCTCAAAGAAATTTAAAAGTATTTTGAACTGAGTGAAAATGAAAACACAACATATCAAACTTTGTGGGATACAGCTGAGCAGTACTTTGATGGAAATATAGCATTAAATGTTTATACTAGAAAAAAAAGTCTCAAATAAGTAATCTAAGCTTCCACTTTAAGCAACTAGAAGAAGAAGCAAAAATAAATTCAAATCAAGCAGAAAGATGGAAATAATGAAGAGGAAAAATCAATGAAACTTAAAACAGAAAAATAGAGAAAAATCAATGAAACTGACAGTTGGTTCTTCAAAAAGATCAACAAAATTGATAAACCTCTAACCAGACTGATCAAGAAATAGAGAAGACACAAATTACCAATTCTAGGAAGGAAAGAAGGGGCATCAGTACAGATCCCACAGACATCAGAAGGAAAATGAGAGACCACCACTATGAACTCAGCTGTGTCCCCCTAAATCTACATGTTGAAGCCATAATCCCCCATTTGACTGCAGTGGAGACAGGGTCTTTAAGGAGGTGATCAGAGTTAAGAGAGGTCATAAAGGGGGGAGCCCTGATCCAAAAGAACTGGGGCCCTTGTGAGAAGAGAAGGAGACACCACAGCTTTCTCTTCACCATGTGAAGGTGGCCATTTGCAAGACAAGAAGAGAGCTCTCACCAGAAACCAAAACAGCAGGCACCCTGATCTCAGCCTTCTCAGCCTCCAGAACCATGAGAAATACATTTCTGTTGTTCAAGCCACCCAGTCTATGGTACATTGTTAGAGCAGCCCAGGGAGACTAAGACAAATACTATCCCCACAAATTCAACAATTTAGATGAAATGGACCAATTCCCTGAAAGACACAAACCACCAAAACTCACTCACACAGATCAACTGTTTAGTCTTATATCTGTTTCAACAACAAAAACCCAGGCCCAGATGGTTTCACTGGAAAACTCTACCAATTTAAGGAAGAAATAATACCAATTCTCTGCAACCTCTGGCAGAAAATGGAAAATTGTCAACTCATTTATAAGTTCAGCATTACCCTGACACCAAAACCAGACATTTCAAGAAGAGAAAACTAGAGACCAATATCCCTCATGAACATAGACACAAAAATCCTCAATTAGATATTAGCAAATGGAATCCAGCAATATATAAATAGGACAGTACATCAAAACAAGTCAGGTTCATCCAAGGAATTCAAGGCTGCTTCAACATTTGAAAATGGATCATTGTAATTCACTATATTAATAAGCTAAAGAAAAAATACATATGATCATCTCAATACAAATCTTAATATATCTCAATACAAATGCAAAAAAGCATTTGACAAAATCCAAATTCATTCATAATAACAAAAGAACTCTCATCAAACTAGGAATAGAAGGGAACTTAATCAACCTGAGAAAGGGCATCTACAAAAAAACCTACCGGTGACAGACTCAACAGTCTCCTGAGGTCACACTGCTATTAACCATCACCTTTGTGTACCAGTCAGGGCAAGAAGGTGAGGTAAGCCATGTCAGAAAGTGAGGAAAGAAGAAATAGAACTCTCTCTGTTCACAGACAACATGACTGTACATTCAAAAAATTCCAAAAATTTTCCTAAGACAAATCTCTTATAACTAACAATCGAGTTCACAGGCACAGGGCACAAGGACGACACACAAAAGTCAACTGTGTTTTCACAGGCTAGCAACGAACAACCGGAACACAGAATTTTAAAAACCAGTACCATGTACAAGAGTGCCAAGATAAAAATGAAATACGTATTTCAAGAGGTCTAATATGTGTGTAACTGGGGCCCCAAAGAATAGGAGGGTACAGGAGATGACAGAAAAAAATTTAAGAAATAACAGCAGAAATTTGTCCAAATGTAATGAAAACTGTAAACCTACAGATTCAAGAAGGCCAAGGAACCCCAAGAACAAGAAACATGAAGAAAATTACACCAAGGCACATTGTAGTCAGACTGCTCATAATTAGCAATAAACAGAATAATCTTGAAGGCTGTAGAGGAAACAGTCACTGGGTACAGAGAGACAAAGGAGACAGGACCGAAGACGCCTCGGCGGAAAGGCGCAGCAGGACCACAGTGGAGCAGCGTCTTTAAAGAGCTGAAAGAAAAGACCTGAAACTGAGAATTCCACACCCTCTGAAAATACCTTTCAAAAACGAAGGCAACGAAAGAGGTTTTCAGACATACCAGAGCTGAAAGAACTCACTGCCAGCTGACCCACACTGTAAGAAATGTGAAAGGGTGTCTTCAGGCCAAAGGAAAATGATACCAGATGGCAACATGGGCCTACAAAATGGACCACAAAGCACAGGAAATGGTGACTGAGTGGGTAAAAAGGCAAGATATGTTCCTACTATTTAAATATCTTGAAAAGATAACCGACTGTTTAAGAACCACAATGACTATGTACTGTGGGGTTTGTAACACACGTAGCCGTCAAGGGTATGGCAGCTACAGCACGAAGGCCAGGAGCTGGAGACGGTAGCACATCTTACGATGTGTGAGTGGGGTTGGGGGACGGGGAAGCTGTGCCAGGCGTCCATTAATTGCCTCCAGGCTCCACCTTCGCCTGCCCCTGCCAGCTCTGCGCTGATGGGCTGGACCCTCGAAGCCCTTCTTCTCCAGTCAGCACAAGAAGACACTGGCCAGGAGAGGGTGCTGGAGGCAACTGCAGGAAGTGTACAGGCCCCTGGCTCCGGGCTGGGATTTCCCTCTTCCCGCTCAGCACTGCCAGAGGCTGGGGGCCCAGTGAGCTTCCCCACCATGGGGCGGAACCTCCTCCAAGGGGGCCTGAACCCCAGCTCGGGGGGACCCCACTTCCAAGTGTGCTCTTTGGGCCTGGAGTGCCCTCCAGAACCTTCAGAGCTACTCCACTGTGGTACTTAATACTTTATATTAATGAAGTTAAAAATATAAAAAGCTGATTTTTTAAAGTCCACATATTTTAGAGATACATACTAAAACACATATGAAAGAAACGACATGTCAGAGATTTGCTTCTACATAATCTGGGGAGCAGAGTGGGTCTAAAAGATTAGGCGTGAGCCAGTGGCGTTTAAATGAGACTGGATCAGCCAATATTGATAGTTGCCCATCTACGCTGGTTGATGAATAAATTGGGCTCATTATAAAATTCTCTCGACTTTGTAAAAGATTTAAAAATTTCCGTAATAAAAAGTTTAAAAAAAAAACATTAAAAAGAAAGAAAATGTGGCATAAGAATAAATATGCTACGCTCAATTGATTTTCCACAAGGGTGCCGAGGCCATTTAATGGGGAAAGAATAGTTTCTTCAACAAACGGTGTTGAGACAACTGGACA